GACGGCACCCATTCACTGCAGAGCATCCACTGACGAGCAAGTGATCTGATGAAGAAATCTGATGAAGAGACAAACTCATCTACATCTTGGATAGCCTAAGGGTGAGTAAATTTTCAGCAGATTTTCATGTTTGGGTAAACTATTCCTTTAAGTTTTAAAACAGAAGGCAACTATTCACCTTGAGGTAGTCGAAGATGTTGCAGATGAAGGACACGAGGCAAACCCACTCCTGAGTGGATCTCTTCCGTGTCTCTTCTCTGGCTTTAAATTCCTGCTGCAGTCGGTTCAGAAGGTTACGCCGAAACACGTTCCCGTTGGTCTGTTTAGCCTCGGCCTGAATCAAATGAGTCACCCGATTACAACTCAGTCCTAATAAACTACAAGACAAATGTGAGCATTTTTATACACTGAAGAGAATGCAACATTCAAACTTTTAAGTGTTTTAACTGTATAAAAACTTGCACGTGGTGCATTTGTTTACCTGGACAATCGTGTAACAGATGCGTCCAGCCTCCCTACTGAAGATCTGGTCCTTCAGAGACTGGTCCATGATTACATTGGACACTTTCTCCAGGTCAACTGAACCTGGATCTGAGGGAGGGAGTGGGGAAGCAACAACAACATCTGTGAGCCTAACAGTAAAATATGTCATGCAAAACTGCAGCAGATGAAAGATAATGACCTTTCAAGGCAGTCTTGAGGAGTTTCTGTGTCTCCAAATCAAACGACTGGATCGTGTACTCTTCTTTAGATGAGGTCTCCATTCTGTTTACGATGGGAAGACAGGGAATCAACCAATCAATAAGCAACCTTCAGGCACATAAGATCAGTTTTTCCTGTGAAAAGAATTGCAAATATCTCGAACAATGTACATTGTCTGGTTGAGCAATAAGGAAGAACAAATTAAGTTGAGCTACAATCCTGTAATAGACAAATACTGTGTAGTCAAATGTCTTGTCTGCAACATTTTAGAAAGCTGACAATAATATCTTTAATGGCAATGCAACTCGGACCAATAACACACTATTGTCATTGTGCTCTTGTGAAACAGATAATGTGTGAAATATGTGCTGTCATCAGTCTGACTTTCAAAGGGAATCAGAGCAGCTCGCGAGTTAAACAGGGATACACGGATTACACCTAACACCTACAAACACACAACAACTGCACGATAAATGACTCAAAACTACTGATTATTATCGATCAGAAACACTCTTTTCTAAAAGCGATAGCAACTGTAACTTTGCAGTCGATTGTAGGCCTAATCTTTACTTTCCCACGTGCCGTCCAAGCCGAAGAAATTTAGAAATTATTTATTATTTTGGTTCAAAGCTCATACAACCGCTCATTTAGACAGTCAACGACAAACTTTCACGGCAACGTCGTGAACATTATGATTGAAACTCTTTAAAATACAGGTAAACAACAACACAGGCACACCTATCAGTTTACGTCCCAGCTTGATACGCTCGCTGCAAGCGGCTTTCAAACATTCAACAGTACGAAATGCTTATAACATGATTTATACTACTAAAAAAGCGAGAGGGGTAATATTACATGTTCATAAGGACAAAAAAAAAACCATACTTTAAAAACAGGCAAATGTTTTTCACATATCTAATCCTCGCTCTTTTCCTGCCGTCCCCCGTATTAAGCGCATCTACGTTAGCCTTCTGCTCTTATGAATATTAATCACGTAATGTGACGTCTTCTCGGTTGACCTAACTGATTGGCTGAAGAGGTCTGGTTCTGTTTTAAATATTCATTACGTTATCCCGGACCCCATAGAAAGGTTGAGAAGCAACTTTTGTGTGACCAACTTAATATTAATAAGCAAAGCGTGTCTCTCCATTACGTTAAAAAAAGAAAAATGTTCAAAACAATCAGGCCTGCCGCTTGGGGGCGCGCAGCCATAACCAGCTCATAAGAAGAACACATGCATAAAAAAATGCATTTATTAAAACAATATATTTGAAACTTCACCTCGATTTAGCTCGATTTATTTTAATACCACATGAGATCGTGTGCTTGAACTTGGTACACAGATATTAATAATACATTCGAAAATATTATGATAATAAATAATACATTTCAAAATACTCCTGAATAGTAATATAAAAATATCCTCTATAACAAAATGTATCTTCTTACATTTAAGATGATATCTTACACAAATGTATCAAAGGCAGAATATCATTAATCTTTACAGTAACACCATCTCGGAAGTCAATGTGCATAAACAAACATCTCACAGAGAATGAAAAGGTAGAACATGTTTCACAGAAAATGTCAGTGGAAAAAAAGCAACAGAAGAGCATATTATGTTCTACATTCAACTCTGGATCCACTTTGCAGCTTACTCTAGCCAGAAACATACACCTACCCTTGAAAGAGAGTGCCACAATACAGTTACAGTAAAATTGAACATTAACCAATACCCATTTTGGTACTGCAGAGAGAAAAATAATGCTGATTGCTCTAGTAAATATCGTTGAAAGTGCTCTAAGCGCTCTTAAAGAAAAGTCAGCAATAACATAAGACATACATATTACATGTAAAATATTTAAATGCATACAAATACAAACGTTTGAGAGTATATAAACAATTGTTGAGTCACTTCAAAGTAGAATTCAGTATAGTTTGGCGACCACAAACAACATACCACAATATCAATGGCACAACATTGCAGATATAAAAAAATAATTCAGCCATGATGATGTGCACCAGTCTCTGCTGCTAACAGTTATGCAGACAAAAACAATGGCGTGTTCGAAAGTCTTACCCTTTTTCATACCATGTCAGATCTTTTAGAAAGTGCAGTTCACTTTACTGTTAGTTGATCTCCTCTTCTTGATGCTCCTCACTGTTCCCAGCTACTTTTCTCAGAGTTTCCATTTCATGGGATTCTCCAGTCGTCTGATTCATATCTATACTGGTATGCTTTGTACCAGGAGTCCCATTATAATCTGACGCCATCTGCAATAAGAAGACAAATGCATTTTAAACATCTATTTGACATCTTCCTATTGTTTTACTTTGTCCACTTTAAATGCAAGTATATTTAAAATTATTGTATTAATGAACC